ATTATGATGCCATAGTACTCTAAGTATTATGATGCCATAGTACTCTAAGTATTATGATGCCATAGTACTCTAAGTATTATGATGCCATAGTACTCTAAGTACTATGATGCCATAGTACTCTAAGTACTAGTACAGTGACAGATGTAACCCTTCAGCTGTGTTTCTTGTGATTTCTTGTGTTTGCTGTGATCCTGACAGAACCTGTTGTTGTGTTTCAGATTCCTCAGAACCTGCCGTGTTCTGTCACCTTACAGCCCGGCCCGGAGGACACCGGCAAGGTTTGTCTCATTTCATCTGCTCTGATCCTGCTTTTTATCCTTTTTACTCAGACTGAACTCGTTTTACCTCAAAGTTAAACTGTTTGTTCTGCTGCTTTAGTCTGAGGGGTTCTGGTTTCTGTTCTGGTTCAACAACACTGGACCTGGTGGTTCTGTCAGGTGGATTTGATTGATTGACAGGTCCATGTGTTTCCTCCCTGCAGGCCTGCGGCGTCGACTTTGAGATCAGAGCTTTCTGTGCCAAGTCCATAGAGGAGAAGATCCACAAGAGGTGAGCTCGGACCTGCAGGAAACCCGGTTCTGAAGGTTCTGACAGTGACTGTGACAAACTTTTAATGATAAATGTGAATCCACTTTCAGAAAGATAACATTAATATCATGCTGCAAAATCAATTTCACACCACTGAGATGAACAGTTGTTGAGATATTTACATGTGAAGAAACAGGAAGTGATGTCRTAGGGGCGTGTCAGCATGTGAACAGAGCTAACAACACAGACAGCAAGTATCTTCTGATGTTTCTTTAGATAGTTTTAGTTCCTATAAGAGATAAAGAAGAGTTAAAGTTAAATGTAATTTTAATAAACAAAGACCAGAGTTTGCTTTCTTAAAGAGTTACCCTATGATGTCACTTCCTGTTTCACTTTACATAAGGAAAATATGCCAGTTATGGGACAAAATGGGTTAAATCATGTGTTTTAGGCCAATTTTCCTAAATGTGAAGATGTTTTCTTTAAGGATGGACGTGTCACAGACCAGGGTCTGAGCAGGGTGGGCTAATATTAATTAATTMATTAAGAGATGACAACTGCTGTCACATGTTGCTGACAGGCCATGGTTCAGGTTCATGTTAGCATTAGCACTAGCTGCTCTCACACACCTGATGATGTCACACAGACCGGTCCTCACATGGGTCTGATTGCAAAGTAGCATGTGATTGAACTCAACCCTAGTCTGGAGCTGTGGCGGGGCTGAAGCCTCGGTCCAGTCTGGTCCAGTCCGGTCCGGTCCGGTTGGTCTGGTCGCTAACAGCTGTGTGGTTGGCAGGAACTCAGTCCGTCTGGTGATCAGGAAGGTCCAGTACGCTCCGGAGAAACCAGGTCCTCAACCCATGGTGGAGACCACCCGCAGCTTCCTGATGTCAGACCGTTCCCTGCACCTGGAGGCTTCACTAGACAAGGAGGTACACACAGACACACACAGAGACACACACACACACACAGACACACACAGACTCACTGTGAACTCTGTTTCCCATCATGCACTGCTGCAGCTGTATTACCATGGAGAGCCCATCAGTGTGAACGTTCACGTCACCAACAACTCCACCAAGACCGTGAAGAGGGTCAAGATCTCCGGTGAGTCCGAGCCGGATCACAGAGTCCTTCAGTTCAGACTGTCTGTGATTGGCTGTCCCTGACGAGTCTGTGATTGGCTGTCCCTGACGAGTCTGTGATTGGCTGTCCCTGACGAGTCTGTGATTGGCTGTCCCTGACGAGTCTGTGATTGGCTGTCCCTGACGAGTCTGTGATTGGCTGTCCCTGACGAGCTCTGTGATTGGCTGTCCCTGACGAGTCTGTGATTGGCTGTGTGTGATTGGCTGTCCCTGACGAGTCTGTGATTGGCTGTCCCTGACGAGTCTGTGATTGGCTGACCCTGACGAGTCTGTGTGATTGGCTGTCCCTGACGAGTCTGTGTGATTGGCTGT